CTGCAACCCCAAAAGGCACCATTCCCAATGTGGGTCACTGAGTTCGGGATGATCAAATTCGCCAAGAAGGCGCATTCCTTAAAGGCATCGTCCCCGATGTGGGTCACTGAGTCTGGAATAATCAGTTTGGCCAATTCTTCAAAGCCTTCGAAAGCTCTGTTGGCAATTCGGGTTTCATGGTTTGGGATTTCAACCACAAGCAAAAGTTCGGTGTCAATCTCATCGAGCAAGCTGATGAGGCCATTTAGGTCACAGCATCTCACAGCATTTGTTTTGAAGACAACACTCATGGCAGCATCTGCAGCTAGCCCTGCATCTGCGACTGTTTCATCATTCCCCAGCAAGCGGTCTCCAACAACAATCTCCACGACGGTAGTGCTGCGAGTAGCCTCATCCCAGGTCCTGCCTGCCATCTCTTTGATCTGCTGCTTGAGCTCTCTACCTCCCATCTCTGGCGTGACTTCGAGAGAAAGCATTTCGCCATTGACCTGCTGTGCGGAGAGTCTCATCGCCATGGCTGTTTGACGCCAATCTGTTCAGCGGATCGTGCGCGTGAACATCCAAGCTTGCTAGCCATTGTGTATTGCCATGATGGTGCTCATGCTGTCAATCCAACAACAACGTCCTCTCAGAATGCGAATGAGTTTGCTTGTGATGCTGGACAAGCTTCCAAAAGCTACAGCGGCATGCAACTTCATTTGGTCAATTTCATTGGTGGTGCTATGCTGCTATTGAATTAGAACAGTCTATTTAGCCACATGTGTTGAAATTTGCTGCCACATCTGTGTTTCCAAACAGCTTCTTCTTCATGAAGGAATCTATCACAGAAGCCATGACCCCGCATCGATTCCATGACCAGGTCGTGCGATCGAGGAAATGAGGTGAACAAAGATGTTGATAGGCGCATGTGATGCTGGGGAACAAAGGTTCCACTAAAATCTACTATACCAGGACTATTTCAAGGATTGTCTATCTACGTCTATCTATCATGTGACCGTCATTCTGTGTCTAGCCTATATAGCCTCTTACAGGTTTAAGGGGATTTTAAGGGGTGTCCACAAGCCATCTGTTGGAAGGCGGTAGTGTTTCCGTTCTTCCGGGTGCTCCCAGGTGGTAGGAGACGCCCTCCAAGGAGCTGGTTGCCTGGGCGGGTGGAGGGAACCCCCGGTCCCGAAGCAACGATGTTGGTCCAGGAACAGCCGGGAAGCCACCCATAAACAAACCCATCAACCACCCATAGCTCAAGGAACTTGGCTTCTGTAAACCCTTAGCTCAAGGATTTGGCACCACATGTTTTTCAGGTCAAAACTGAAGGCTATCCTCGGTCGCCCAGACTAGACACCGACGGACGCCCAAGCCGTTTCGTTCACTGGGTCGGTCGAAATCAGGAGGGCGGTCGAATGGGCCATCCACCTGAAACAATGCCAGCCATTCAAAGGGGAATCCCTCTAGAAGCATCTCAGAATCGGCCCTCCACGTGAAAGTCCCTCTAAACCATGCAGAGTCTGCTCGCTCAACAAGGTGCTTTGACCTCGCAGCTTCTTTCTTCGCTCCACATTCGGGACCCCCGGCGTAAAGGGCCAGGCGCGCCGCGAGCGAGCCTCGCCACGTCGTCGCCGCGGCGTGGGGACGATGTCCGAGGTCCACCCGGCACAGCCCACCCAGCACACCCAGGAATCGGCCCATCTTTGGGCGAGAAGAACGGGCCGCCCCGATGGGCGAGTCTCGGAGGGCGAGGATCGGATGGTCGCGCGCAGCAACAGAACGAAGACCTGCCAGGTCTCCGATGTTTGGGCTGAAAATGGAGACTTCATGTCGTGTGAGCTGGTGGTGACCTGGCAGGTGGGGCGGGTGCTGGTGGAAGTGTTTCGAGTGCTGGTCACCACCTGGGCAGCAAGTCTCGATAAGTCTCGGACCGTGCAAGCAGGGCTCGGAGGTGCAGCAGGGCTTGGAGATCGCATCATCCAAGCATCACTGCCATCCAACCCCCCCAGGTTTATAAACTGCCCTGCTCCTATTGGTTTTACCATCCAATATCCATGTTTGGGGGTATCTCAGGGGTGGTGCAAGTGGATTTCAATGGATTCTATCCGACCACAAAGACAGGGTCGCCCAGTGATCAACTTCAACCATTAAAAGGACATGGTTCAACCATGTTCAACCCCTAAGGAAGTGATGTGCCTGAACACAGGCCATACAGGCAGCTGGGACACGCCAGTGCAATCATTCTTTGCCAACCAGGCAGCTGCTTTCTTGTTGGAGTCGTTCTCATACTCATCGCCTCAGGATTCAGACGTTGGAGGCGAGCGATGGCGGGCGATCGCGACGTTTCACAAACCGCACGGCTTTTGCTGCACAAATTTGGACTGACACCTGAAATGGTCCAACTCTGCAACATGTCTGCCAAATTTGGCTAGTTTTGGAGATGACTCAAAAAGCACCTGTGAAAGCTGCGGAAGATCGATCAGTCTGAGTCGAAAAGTGCGACGCAGTCCGATGTGTCCCAAATCGATGAGATTCACCGGAATTCTCAAGTGTTTGTTGGGACTTCAGACTTCTCTTTCAGCCAGCCGTGTTGCGCCGCGCAACAGCAATAAGCATAGCAAAGCAAACGAACATGGATACAAATTGCAAATATTAAAATTGACATCAACTTGAAACAAGATTTGATGTGCCCAGCTTTCTCGGCTCCACTGCTCCACTTTCCGAACCCCGCCTCGTCATCTCAACCTGCCAACCTTCATCTCGACGTTCCGCCTCCCACCTCCCACACGACCCGAGCGAGCAGGCTGCGCCTGTCTTCAGCCTCCAGCTCGTGGTTCTGCGTGGCTCCTGCACTTGCAGCATCTGCGTGGCTCGCTGCTCGTGGTCAGCCTCCTGGCCCGGCGCGTCATCACGAGCTGATCGGCGCCGTGCTTCAGACTCAGACTGTGCCGAGTAGGTCATGAAGGCGGGTCGTCGTCCGTGCCGTGCTGGTCGGTGTTTGAAGGCCGGTCGTGGTGCTTTTTGCTTGCACTCGCTTGGAGGTGAAGGTACCCTGACCGCTTGGAGGGTTCCTCCGATTCCGAAATCCGGATCGTTCTTGGTGGATCCAGCAAAATTCACGACCAGGTTGATGGTCTCACTCTGCTACTCGATGATCGCAATCTTCACGGACTCTATGCATGACCCAACTGATGATGGGAAGAAGCAACTGTCCCATGGTATCACTACCGAGTGAGTGAGCGAGTGAGGGAGCGAGTGAGGGAGTGAGGGAGGGGAGTGAGGGAGAGAGCGAGCGAGCGAGCGAGCGCGCTAGACCTACAGGTCTCTAGGTGGTTTATAGATTTATGATGATTTATGTTATTATAGCTTAATGGGGTCAAAAAGGCTTCTAGGTTTGTACGATGATAAGATTCATAGGGTGTGTAAAGGAAAACCTGCCACTGGTATGCCAGCCAGAGCTTGAAGAACCCAGACTATCCTAGTTCGGTACCCCGGGTGTTTCCGAGTCCTAGTGACCTGGTCACTGGATACCTCCGCCCACATCGATGTGTTGGGGGGGGTGTCTTCAAACCGAAGTTGCACGGTCCCCGGCTCCCGGCGAACAAGGACTGTGACATACTACCAGGGCCCCACAAACCATCCAAAACCGGATTTTTCTTAACCAAAACCATTGTTTTTGTGTACCCTGGAAGTCAAAGACCATGTTCAAAATGGTTGTTCTGGTTTTGTAGTCTAAAACCCTAGGTAAAACCATGATGCTTCAGGATTCAGGCTATTAAAACCATGGTGGGCCACGACTTCGGTATATGAAAAACCTGTGTTTTTCGTTTTGAGCGCCCCTGGTTCTCATCAACGACCGACCTAGCGCCCTGGGACGCCCTTGCAGGTCCGGAGACCGACGTGACGGGTAGGTCGTCTCACCTCTGAAGCCTCCAACGTCAGGACCTGACCGCATGAAATACCGGAGATCATCAACCAATACTATACCAGCACCCTCCAACAGGTGCTTCCTGGTGACAACAGGTGCCCAGAAACCACCTGTTAGGGTCTCCAAAAAGCCTGCTGGAGGGTCCTGGTATAAGGACCTTTAAAAACAAACAAACGGGTGGACCTGGGCCATTGGGTAGAGAGGCGATGAACACCGCAACCTCGGCTCAACATGGCTCTAACAAGTGTCACCAGGAGAAGCGGGTGGCGCGTGGGCGCCGCCGGCTTCGGCTGGCGGTGTTGGAGGTCGCCCTGCACTGGAAGCCACCAGAAATGACGAGCACCCTGGCGCCTGCCAGGTCACCACCTGCCACTTCAACTAAGTCTGCTGTACTTCGTCGCCGGAGACCCAGCTGGCCGGTAGCCGTACTTCGCTTCGAACCCGCAGAGTCGGACTGAGCCCGCTTCGCCAGGTCTAGCGGCCCTAGCGGTCTCTGTCGGCCCACCCGCGCGGGTGCCCGGCCTTCCAAACATCCATCTGGGCAGGACCTGGCCGAAGCTGAAAGCTTAAGACCAGGTCGATGAAAGGCGAAACTTGGACACAAGAAGAACAAGAGGGTCTGACTTAGAGGATTGGGAGGCTTCAAGACTTAGAGTCAGAGGCTCTAGGTTCAAGTGAAGTAGACCCGAGTCAAGGGGGTCTAGGGTCTGGGGCTTAGAAAGAAAAGACTTAGAGTTGGACAGGCTCTATAGGTTCAAGTGCTGGCTGGCGCCAAGGTGAAGATTGCTGGGAGGTGAAGGACCATGATGTGGACCCTCTGGACTCTGGACCCTCTTCTCAGCAGATCCAGAGGTTGGAGTCGTGGGCGAGCCAGGTTGAGTCGCAGGCCGCTGAGGCTTCCTTTCTGCATCACCAAGCAACCGAAGCCATGAATCTCCAGAACACCAAACTGCGTGTTCGCAGCTTGCTGGACCCTCTACCTCTACCCAGCCCTACCTCCATCACCCACGCGGTTTCAGCATGTTCGGCATGTTCGGCATGTCCACCCTGTCCCCTGTCAAGATCGGTATAGAGAAGGTCTGAGGGACCCAAAGATTCTTGCTTAACCCTGGAAGTCCAAAGACTATACGTTCCCTTAGTGAGGTAAAGGACATTCCCTGAACCCGATCCCCGTTCGTCAGACCTTTCTTTGTATAGTCGACTGGACTCACAGGGTTCAATATCGTTACAAAAGGACCTCGTCGATGCAGCTCCGTAGCAGAACATCCGACCATTTTAAGGAGACCAGGACCCTGATCTAGGTCTTGAGTTGAGGGTTGGGAGGAAGGGCCCCTGCCCAGGTCTCATTTGGAGACCTAAAGACAGTCAAGTGCTGGTAGTTGATTCTGGAACGGTGGAAGGTGTTGCTTTGCCATCTTTGCAGCTGCTCCACTTCTTTACCTGCTCCACCTCTTCATCCTCTACACCACCCTTTTGCACCGCCCCGGACGTTGCCACCCCCTCCGCACAACCCCAGGACCGGACCAGCTCAGGCGACCCGGTCGACCAGCTGTCCTGTCTGGAGGATCCCGGGCCCTTGGTGTAGACTGAACATGGACACAGTCGGAGTTCCCGATCGGAAAGGGAACATGAGGGGTGCAGGTTAGACTCGCTAGCATGATAAATCCCATCAGTCGATTGGTTCTTTCCAGCACCTTCAAAGGGGTCACCTGGCTGGAAGCCCCAGCCCACCACTAAGGGACCTCCAGCCAGGACACCCCTTGAAGGTCCAGGTTTGTTCACATGTCTGGATGGTTCTGGTCTCTCAAAGCCAGCTGCTCGCCAGGTGTGCCGTCGTTGGCGCCATGTGGATCGCGCCTTGCGGATTCGCTTGGGATCCTTCGAGCTCTACCTGGCGCGGGGGGTGGGCGTCGCTGGGAACCGGAGAGGGCGAGGCTCGTGTGGTCCGGTCTAGGGCCTTGATGATCTTTCAACCTTCCATGAAGAGGTTTTGACGCGTGGGGCCGCTCAACATCGGAAGACCTTGACGCGTGGGCTCGATCCAAATAGATCCGTCGACCCACTTGGTTGGGGGTCTCCCGAGTTTCCAATACACACCCAGAAGGCGGGGGGGTTTATCTTTAAAAAGACTACGGACCACGAAGCCTTGCGCAGGACCTGTTGTAAAGGGAATCTCCTTGGCCTGTAGACCCGTGCGGACCAGGTAGATCGAGGCCCCATGCGGACCCGGGAGACGCCGAAGACCGTCCGGCCCGATGTGCAGATGGCAAGACTACACTCCCCACCAAAAGGAGGAGGATGTCCAACAGAGGTATCCAGTGACCTGAACTAGGACCCTACAGGGGTACCTGTAGGATAGTCTATAGGGTTCTTCAACCTCTGCTGGTTGGTAACGGTAGTTGTACCCAACTATCATATTGCTCTGGCATGATCAAGTGGACCCTAAGAGGTCTCAGCTGCAGAGTGGTAGGTGAAGATCGCCACGGCGCCTTGCCGAAGCACCAAACAAAAAGAACCATCAGCCAGGACCCTCAAAGTGACCTCTTTCAAGTCTCTACGTGACCTTTAACAGGCCTACAGTAAGTGGTGATGTTTCAAGCCTTCCATCCTCTTTCAAATTCTAGAAAACGTAACATCCCCACCCACTACTGTGGAAGACTCGCGCCCGTGGATTTCGGCCCGCCGTGGGTGGGCCCGTGAACCTAAGGTGGAAGTGTGCTTCAGTCATCCTAGCTAGCGTTGGAGGCGCAAGTGTTCAGGAGTGCTCAGGAAAAGCGCAAACAACTCCATTGCGTCATGGAGAAAAAAAAAAACAAACCACGGGACTTTGAAGCCGGCGCGCTTCTCATCACAGGTGTCAGTGTGTCAACCATCCATGGGACTGGCCCTGGCCAACGCTTGTTGTTTGATTTCAGCAGGTCAGTGAAGGCATTGCCATGGCTCAGGGCGAGACGAGAAACACCGGACTACTTCGCCCCAACGGAAGGCCGCTCTCACCATCGCCGAAACAAACCCGAGAACGCGTGCGAGCTGCGACCCGACGGGAATCCGGAGTCCAGTGACACTCGACATTGTCCGTAGACCAGCAGCCTCCAAGAGGTCTATCAATCGCCGCTTAGAGGTGAGGTGGATTTAAGGCTAGAGTTCAGAACAAGGTGATACCAGCACCTTCAAAGGGGTCACCAATGGAAGCCCCTACATTACTAAGGGACCTCCATTGGACACCTTTTGAAGGTCCAGGTATAAGAATACGGGCCGTGCTTCAGAAGAGGAGTGCCTCCGGAAGTTCAAGTCCGGAACACCTCCAAGTTACGCGCGGAGCTTTCGTGCCATCCGTGCCACGGTGGTGAGCTTTCGTGCCAAGTGATGCCACGGACCGTGGTGCCAAGCTTCGGCCCGTCCATGGCGGGGGTCTTCCGCTCCGCTCCGCTTCGGCCGCTCCGCTCCACTCCGCTCGCCGGCCTCGACCTCGACCTGCACGGTCAGCTCGGTGTCGGCGGTGGTTGCGGTGCTGGCGACAGTGGAGATGGTGGTGACCTGGCACCAGCGGTCGAACCTGACGGCATGGACCTGCATTGGAGGGGGACCGGCGGAGGCCAGGTGTTCCGACCCGGAACAGGTTCGGATCATATACTAACCAATTATACATACCATTACCCATTGGGCTAGGGTGTGGTGGTTGAAGGATCCAGTCTGCGGAAGGCTATATCTGTCTCATCCCTGCGTATTGATGTCGATCTCTCCCAGGAACAAACCGACCTCCCCGAATTCGGAAAACATGTCGGCTTACAGTCCCTCTTCATGCCCCTTCCCCGCTAAAGATCGGGGCTACTTCCTCGGGAGTGGAATCAAGGAGCCCCTCAGCATGTGGCATGTGATCGCGACCTCGCAGTAGTCGGTGGCAGGAGAACAGTACCAGGACCAGGAGTGACATGTTCAAGACCCAAGAGAGTTCATTCTGGGATCTCAAACAGTCACTCAAAAGCTCCTGGTAGGAGAGATCTTTGTTTTTCCATGTTCTTTGGAACACCTTGCTGCCAGGCCGGCGATCTTTTAAATCCGTTCATTGAGAAACACACAAAAAAAAATCTGAGAAACCGGCAAGACTTGCACCAACATGGAGGAAACCGACCGGACCCAAATGGTTGTGACCCGTTTGTTCACCAAAATGCTCGACCACTTCGCCTGAACCCAGTCATCTGAATTTGACGTCCCTAGGGACCGCCGTAGCCACGTCTCAACAAAAATCGTGTGGGGATGAATTCGTTCTTGTCAACAAAACCCACATGTCAAGTGTTCCTTTGCATCAAACATCGGGACAAGGCAAAGGAGTGATCACGGATGAGGAGAGACAGATTGGATGGCATGATGCGTGGGTGTGTGTGTGGGTATTCTGCTGTTTTGAAGTAGGTATAGATGACGATGATGTTAAGCTTAATGATGAACTAGAATGATATGATGTTTTGCAACTTGCAAGGGCTGGTGAACTAATCTTCCGACACGGGCTTCCAACAAACTACAACGCCAAAATTGTATGTAAACAATCCAAGTTCATTAGTTGGTGTGTCGTGTGATGCAGCAATGGCGGGCAGACAAGCGTTGGCTCGTGTGTGTCTGTGTCAGTACAGTTGAGTTGTGTGAATTGAATTTGGTAAACTGAGTTGACTGACTTGTGTTATGTGAGTTGAGTTGGTGTGAGTTGAGCTGGGTCATGGAGCAACAGACAGCAGTGGGGGAGAAGAGGAGGGGAGACGACAGAACCCAGCAAGAACCCCACTTCAAATCTTTGGCGCTTCCAATCTACCCGTGGCACCTGCTCAGCAGGACCTTCACAACATTCTTCTCCGCCTGACAACACACCACAGGCAGCGACTGGAAACAAGCCCATGACCCTTCGTTGAACTGGTCCAAGCAGTGCGGGCTTTCCAACATGACAACTCCGCTGGGCCGATCAGCTTTTGAAGATAGAAAAAATACAGTGGCTTCAAAGTAAGTGGCACAAAGCTGGCCGTTCCCCACCTGTCAGGCGAGGGCTGTTAGATTTTAGAAGAGCCAGCCTCCTCCTGTGTCTCTGTCTCTGTCTCCGCCTCAACTGCCAGCTCCAGATCGCAGTGGGCACTACCGGACCTTCAACACCAAGCTCCAGATCGCAGTGGGCACTAGCAGCAAGCGCCAGATTGCAGTGGGCACTACCGGACCTCAACAGCAAGCTCCAGATCGCAGTGGGCACTCCCAGACCTCCATTGCTCTACTTCGAGCACAAACCAGACTTGATGGATGCCAGAACAAGCGTCAGAACATGGTGTCAATCCGCATGTCCCTTGTCAGGCTAGTCTGTCAATACATGTGCCCTGCCTTCTTCCGAATCGCCTTTGGGATCACTCGAAGTAGAGTAATTTATAGAGTCCAAATAAACCACCTTTGGGGAGTGTGCCATCTACTCTGAAACCACTGGAGTGGTTCTTGTTCCTATCTGCATAGCATATGCTATACTCATAGTCTAACTAATCAAAACACACCAGAATCATATGTGGCAGTCACCCTTCTATTGTTTAGACAGGTTTTATCGATTTGTACTGATTACCCCCAAAGGAATCCTTCTGCACACTTTTCTGCATCAGAATGGCCAGGTTACAGAAGAACCACCTTCCAATTCCAGACCATCCACGGGACCAGCATAGTGACTTACATTACGGTAAATGGCTTAAAACAGCATCCAGTCGAAATGGATCGAATATGTTGCTCAGACCTGTGGACGCTGTGACCCTCAGACCTACGACGAAGGCTTCCGCGTCCGGAAAAAGACACTAGACGAAGTTGGTCTCCCCTGCAAACCAAGAGAGGTTGAACAGCCTTATAGCCCATCCCATACGTACCACTATGGGGTCCTATAAGGTCTCTCAACCTCTCTTGGAAACAGCGCGACTTGAGCTCACTCGGACTCTCGTCACAATCCTTGACGGTCGCCGCGCATCGGCGCCGCGCGGTCGTCGGCCTCGACCCTCTTCGGTGGACACGAAGGCCTCGTCGACCCGCTTGAAGTACCTTCTCTCGCCGGGAACGCGGCCTTTTTTCATGCCGGCTTTGGATGCGGGGAGCGGAGAAGGGACTGGGCGTGTAGCTCAAATAGGGAGACCTCCCAAAGATCCTCTGAAAGAAGAACATAGACATTAATAGACACGATGTAAAACCCAGTGCTTGGGGGTCTCCCTTCAATACACATCCCAGGGCCATCTCTCTTTTGATGGTCCGGCCAACACCTTTCCGGGGTTTCCGGGCGCCCGCTGAGACCTCTTCACCCCCCCCTGGTCGACTCACTCCAGTGGCCGGTTCTCGCTGCGACGAACCGGTGCGTCCCGAGTCCCGACCAACAGCGGTGTGCCATCGGTCTGTTTCGCGTGGCTGGGAGGCCGGTGTGCCATCCGTGGCTGGGAGTTGCCTTCATGTCGGTGTTGTCTGGATCACTTGATATAGAGCCAAGGAAACCCACAAAAAATGAAGGATAGAGGGCCTCCAAAAACAGGCAGAGGCCTCTCTGGATCCGGAATCGAAACAGTTGAACCTCTTGGTGTTGACGTGTTCGTCCTCGTTTTCTTCGGACTTTTCTGGAGCTTTCCCACCAGGGGGGTCGACGTGGTCGACGTTTTTCTATGCTGCTTTCGTCCCGTCGAGCCTGGAAGAAAAAAAGAAGGCGTCTGACGAGTACGATGACTCGGTGATCCGAGTGAGTAAAAGGAACTCCAGTTACATTGGGCGCCAAGAACTGGACTTCTAGGGTATACCATGGTATACTATCTCGCTGATTGTGCGGGGTTTATGTGAGACGCGACAATGGCATGTGTGTCACTCTGGGCACGGGATGCAAGGGTATACCATGGTATACCAGAACCTTGAGTGAAAGAGCGCCACGTGGGCAGTCGAGTCAGGACCTTTTTCCAGCCAACGCCGCCCAAAAAGGATGGTTCTTAAATAGGATGCCGTGAAGATAACCGCTACAAAGGGATGAACACAAGCCGGCTGTATGAATCTTCCTTCCTCTTAGTTTCCTTCTGTCGCATTTTTCCTTCTTTTGTCTTTCTTCTTTTCTTGTGATTGTCTTTCTTTCTTTCTTCCTTTCTTTGCTTTCGTTTGCTCCTTTGGTTTCCATGTCTTGCATTGTGCCTTTCGTTTCTTATTATATAGTCTCTCCTGTTTGCATTGTGTCTTTTCCTCTTCTATCACCGGCTACTTTCTGACTGCGTCGACTCCTCTCTCTTTCCTTGCCTCCGTTTTCGGGACTTTTATTTCCTTAGGTTGTTTTCGTTTTCTCACCCTTGCCTCGCCTCTTTTGTGTGTAGCCGGCTTGCGCTGATTCCCTTTACGACGAGATCTTTATGAGGTAAGTGGTTTTCAATGATCCCCGGAGACCTCCTTCAACACAAGTCTGCTACACACTATCACTATATAGTGTAATTATCCACGCTCAAAAACGGCCTGCGACGTCAGTTGCACTGCTTAGTTGCACTGCTTGCCACGTTCAATACTTGGTTATCGCGTGGTGCGAAGATTGAAAAAGAGATTTGCAGCGCCGAGCACATGGATACTGCAAAGGTAAGTATTGGCACTTGATTGTTTGCTTTGCTCGACTTTCCGTTGCTTCCGCCGGCCTTTTTTTAGGCACCTGCTTGTCAGTTGCACTTGCTGTTGTTTACTTTAGTCTTTCAAGTCAAGACCTTTCTTTGCTTATCTTTCAATCTTTGCTTTTCTTTCTATATTTTTTCTGATTATGTGGTCCTTTTACTTTCTTCTATAATGCTTTCTTGCTTCTTTCCTTTCTTTTTTCGCATGTTAGGAGATTATGTGCAAACACAAGGAGAAGAAAGCAACCAAAGATGAACGCCCAAAGAACGAAGCAGAACCTCCTAGAGCAATGGAGACCGATGCAAGGATGGAAGGAATCCAAAGTAACAGAAAGAGACGAAGGAAGAAAACAATGAAATAAGTTGGAAATGAAGAGAAACAAAAAAAAGGGAAGCTGTATGAGTCGGAGCCTTAAAAAAACGGAAACCAAGGAAAGACTATAATATTTCAAAGCACACAAGCAAAGAAACCAAGTCGACAGAAGGAAACGGTCAAGAAGCCGAACAAATTTATTTTCTTAAGACAGAAATTGAAGCACTGCGCATGAACTACAATTGGCTCGCTGAATCGGACTGCGTCTGTTTTGGCCACGCACTGTCCAGAGGTCGCGGGCCGACGGTGAAACGCTGGGCGACCTCTCAGAAGAGGAGCCTGACGCCAGCCACACAAAGCTATAATTGAAACGGTTTCTCTGCAGTCTGGGTGTCCGACGCCCAGCCGATGGTGCCTCCTTCGTAGATACGGAGGCATCCATCCTCGTCTTCTTCCTCATATCCGATGGGAGGCCTCGGTTCGGGCGCCGGGTTCGCACGGACGTCTGACTCTTAGAGCTTGGGCTCGCGCAATTCTGGCCCGTGCTCAACGAGCGGGTCCGGCGCGCGTCGCCCAGTCCGCTGCGCGCTTGTCGGAGATTCTAGGAGGCAGGCTGGTGGAACCACCGTCATATCTTCGAATGCCTGAGATGCGCAATGACTAGACCATCGTACTATTGGTCTGCTCACCGTTTCTCACGCCTCCCCTTGCTCCTCTTCGTCCACTTCGGCCAATTCCTCCTCCGAGTCATCCTCGACGCCCTTAGAAGATATGTCGATGCCGCTCGTTGGGAGCATGGTTCTGTCGACCACGCCTGGTAGCCAAGATCCAGGAGGCATTCCTAACCAGCTGGCGCCGCGTCTGACTTTTCGGAATTCAAGCCAAAGGGTTGTGCGCTACCTGTGCCCAGCCTTGCAATGCAAGGTGTTCCACCATGAGTCCTCATCGAGGGGGCCCAGAGGCACGCCGCTCTCACCTCGAGCCGTCGATGTGATGGTCCGTTCTCTATTCATCGCTGTCTTCTGTGATCTTCTCTTTATCTCGTTCTTTTGCTTTCTTCTTTTCTTCATTTCTTCATTTCTTTACTTCTTTTCTTCAGTTCTTTACAAGTTTTCTTCATTTCTTTCTCTCTCTCTCACACTCTCTCTCTCTCTCTCCCTCTCTTTCTCTCTCTCTCTCTCTCTCTCTCTCTCTCTCTATCTCTCTTTCTCTCTTTGCGTGTCTTATATCACGGCTTGGCCGAGGCGCCGCAGGAACAGCAGACAAAATGGGCAAATGCATGCTCCACGCGAATGGCCTCCATGTCCTCAGCTGGCGTATGGCTCTTCAGTTCTCGTTGCCTCTCAAACCCTTGTAGATTTTCAGGCCCCAGCGATCCGAACAGGCGGGAAGAAAGAGGTTGAACACAAGTGTTTGATTGATGCAAAAGGCTTCGATCGGCGATGCAATTCTTTACGCTCTTTCTGTAACAAACCAGTACAAAAAACCTGCCAACCACAATCTAATGGAATGCATTACGTTCGATCCAAACGACGATTCGTTCATTTCATGTTTCTTTCTGCTCCTAACTGACTGATATTTGTATCTCTTCTTCTTTATTGCGCTTGCTTTCTTTTCTCTTTTCTTCCTCTTCGTTTTGCGATCTTTTGGTTTACGGTCGGTTCCTTTCTGGTTTGCTCTGTCTTTCTCTGTTCTTTCTCTCTGCTTTCCTTGCGTTCTTTCTTCCTTCGACTTTCGGGTCTTGAACTTTTCCTCTCTTTTTGTTTCGTCTTTTCCGGCTGTCTGGCTTTCTCTTCGCTCTTTTCTGTCTGAGTTTGCCTCGCTTTTCGGTTGCTTCGGCTTTTTTTGTGCAGCTTCTGGTTTCCTTGTCCTTCTCCAGTCTTCTTTGTGTGTAGCCGGCTTGTGTTGATCCCTTCGCTCCACATCCGAATGTCTACCCCCAAAGCCAGCCCAAGGACCTGAAAACGAAGACGGTTAAGGTGTTCTCTTTAGCAACCCAAACGGGTGGAGGCCAGGCTGAATGTTTCTGACATGCCTTCTCCAACCGGGCCCTGCGGTCGAACAATCCATGGCATCGGAAACATAAAACCCACGGCGAAAAACGAATCCAAGCACAGTTGGTTGGAGCAAGGAGCTGTTTTGGTTGGATATCTGGGAGACTCCCAAACTGTAACAGTAACATTAAGACAACCAGATGAAAGAATGTGAAAAGCAATACATATAAGGTGAAACACACACAAATGCAAAAAGAATGAATCGTACCATGTTTGCAACAGCGTGTTGACATGTGGTTTGCCTTTGGGGAAGGGGTTTTCTCCTTGAGTGACTCAGACCTGCTGCCCTGAAAGACCTTCTTCCATTGAATTTTCTGAACTCCCAGCTGCAGATCTGAGCTACTTCTTAGGCGCGCCCAAACCGGGCCCCACCGGAAGACCCTCCGCCACCCTCCGTCCACGGAGCTCTTCTTTTTGCAGGTGGACCTTCGCCCGAACCCGGACAACCCCAGCGCCTCGCCTCTTGCTCTTGCTGCCCGCGGACAGCATCTCCTCCACCCCGAGCTGCGGGTGCTTCCCCGACCGGACGTCCACCCCCCCCCCCGGTCCACGGCGCGCTGCCCCCCGCGCATCCGGCCGCGTGGGGCGTGAGTGCAGTGCCGTGCGGAGCGCTGAAGCGCTCCACGGCTGCGAAGAAATCACCCGGGTGATGGTTTTGTGTCGATCCTCCTTCGTTCCAACCGAGTTCGAACGCATCACGGCCGAGCACGAACGATGGCGGCCTAGCATACCCCTGGTTCGATTTTTCGGTAGACACGCCATGGTGAGTTCCAGGCACGCAGAATCCGATGCCCGAACAGAGCTTTTTTGGGTGATCCGTAGGGTAGATTGAAAGGATTGAGGGTTGTCCTGGACCTGCCTTAACTTCACAGTCCTACTTGGAGGTTCATCAATAGTGGCCCTGGGGGCTTCCAGCCAGGTGACCCCAAGTTCCGGTGCCCGGGCTGGGTGGGAAAGTTTTGTTTTGGATCGCTTTAGGGTATGCCAATGGATTTTTTCCTGCAGAATGATATATCCAAGGGCTTTTGGTGGCAGTTGCACTACTGTGCTTCAGACTGTCAGGAGTGTTACTGTTCGTCCACAATCAACAACATGAGAGATCACAAGTAAGTATAGCCGTATAGCAATCCTGTATCCACAAGGCATGTTTTAACCGCATAAGTAATGTCAAGCCATGATTTAGCACTTGTTTGAGCATCTGCAGCCATTTCACCCCAATTAGTTCGGCCCACCTTTCTTGGTGCTTTTGCAATACCAACCGCAAGACATCTATAGTGATAAACCAATGCTTCTATCCAATCAATTTCAGGTCCGGTCTGAGGTTTCTTGTTGCCGTCAATGCTTACTATTGTGACCGACAAAGAACCCATAATATCTCTGCCAGGATATAGATTTTGCAGAGGGGTTTGTAGATATGTGTAATACCAGAGGTTCAATTCTGGAGTGCAGCGTGGATCTTCTCTCGACGAAAAAGCTTCGTAGAAAACACCAACCAACACCCAACTCTACAGGTCTCCAAAATGGTGGTTTCAAGGTGGCAACTATCCTGCAAGGTACCTGACCTCAAGCAGAAGCGACTCATCGAGTTTGCTTTACAAGTTCGTCTTTCCAAGATCTCCTTGGGTGGTAAGCCCATGATCTTCACGATGCAGCGCAGCTGGTCATACTCACACTGGCCTTCCACCGGTTCCGCCCGCTCGCTGGTGTTCCGAGCAGTGGCTCGCTGGGTGCGAGCCCACCGACACCGACCGGTTGATCGGGGTGTCTATCCATTTCTATCAGCTAAGGATCCGCACCCTCAAAAACAAGGGTTTTGAGGGGCCCCAAACCCTTGTGAACTAGAGGGTTCAACCCCTTCTAAGGAGGGTCCATTCGGATCCGGAGGCTCGTGTTACCTGGACCTTGTCCTGCCTGGAGGTCCCTGATCGCCTCATGGGCGCCCGCGGCGGCTTCGACCCCCCCCGAACATGCCAGGGTCCCGAGGAACCAACCTACCAGCGAACGATCTGTGGCAACGAACGACGGGCACCCAACGGAACCCACCAGGTGGTGCCTGGCAGCCCTGGCATGGGAGGGTCTGTGAAGGTCTGAACTGGCCAGTGGCTAGATGTTCACAGACCTCCATAGACTATGACAGTAGCCCCGATGGTGTCCAAACTCCAGCTTCAACGGCCGTGGTTCAGCATCGCCTCTTCTATACCCTAAGGATCCTTGGACCCTCCTTAGAAGGGGTTGAACCCTCTATAACAAGAGTTTGTACATGTTTGTACGCTCAAAACCCTTGTTTTTGAGGGTGCGGATCCTTAGGGTAAACCAAAAGGCGGGGATGAGAAACCATCACCCCAACGGACGAGAAGGACCAGACGTGACGAGAAAGACGAGACGTGAGACTCCGACCCTCCCAACAACGGCGCGGAGACCGGGAACCATCCCTCACCGCTCCACCGCCCAGGCCGCCGCCCTATCGCAGAGTCTAACCATGGTCTAACCATATGGTCTAAGCGCGTGCCTGGAAAGAGAGGCAAGCCCAAGAGCAGCTCCGCCACGATGCAACCTAAACTCCTCCAGTCGTTCGGTCGCTGTCGCTCTATCGCGGGCGCTCCCCGGGCGTCGCTCCCGGACGACCGGTCGTCAGACGGAGCCGGGTGCCACGGTGAAACGGGAGCCGCCGGGGTCGCGGGCGGGGTGCGACTGGAAGGTCTTAGGAGGTGAGGTGAGGTCTACCAGAGGTGAGGTCCTCATGCCGATTCGGAGTGAGTATATGGCGAATCGAGGTGGGGAGCTTGAATAGGGAGACCGACCCCTTCAACGTTCCAAAACCCCACTGGAAGAAGGGTTCGGGGCATAGAACCCATCTACGGAGCCAAGGGCGAGATTTCGGGGCGTCTCCCGAAGCTCGAATATACACCTATGTGGGTTTGACCTGCTGACTTTCCGAAGACCAAGCAGTGAACTTTGCTCCGTGTACCAACGCATTATAGATCTAGTCAGTGTCATCCCAAGTAAGAATCAAAAAAAAACCACCAACCCAAATTGTGACCGAACCCATCATATCATATCCCACCAGTGCACCACTATCAACCACTCAAAGACCCATCGTCGAAAATGCCCAAAAACGCTGGGCGCTTGGAACCCCCAAATCTCTCATGTTCCACGGGTCCACCATGTTCCACCCCTGAAACAACACGCACGAAAGCAACCGGACCTTCGAGTCGGTCGTCGTCCCCCGCCCCGGTCGAACCCCTTTTGGCGAAAGCTCCAGATGTCAATGGCACTGCCATAAGGAAGTCCCAAAATCACCTCAGGAGACCTGCGCAGGCGGGATCCGTCCAGTCGGCCGTGTCGCCACGGGAAAGAAATCCGTGCATCGGAGGGGTCGCCACGATACGGTACGTTTGAGGTCTCTAAGTTTTGCAGGTCTCAAGCAGAAACAAAGGAATGGTTCCAACATGTTCCAACCTTGTGAGTTGAGATTCGTGATGTTCAATCCTAGCTATATGGTGAAGCCAGTGGCAGGGGGGAAGAAGACAACAACTCACCGATGTTCACCTAATATATACACTCCAGCAGCAGCACTGCAACATCCTAGGTTCTTGAGCTAGTATATTATTACTATTATTATCAAGTTATGTTTGGAGATAGTCAGAGTCACAACGTTTACCCACTCCGCATGTACAACTCACTTTCAGCTCGATCACACAGCGTCTCACAGGTGCTGCACAGGTACTACACATGCACTGTACACCCTTGGTCTGCTCTCACCAGTTCAACAGTGCAGTATAAGCAGCTAGTTGCTTTGACAACTATGAGATCAGCAAGTGTTCTCGTGAACACGTGGCTGTGAAAGTTTTTGGTCAGGCTAAGGGCGACTGTTGCCTCGATTCATATCTACAGGAGGAAGTCTGCCCATAGCAGAAAGGTATTGTCACAGCCTGCCAAGCAAAGCACTTACTTCAGCAAGTGCTTGCCAAGCGCAAGGACTAGCTTGGCCTCATCGCTTTTAGCTGCCTTCTTCTTGGGAACTGCCACACGAACACCCTTCTTCTCCTCATTGATCAATGCGGCCTGAAACCCAACACCCAAAGCAGCAGAATTTGAAGGAGCCGCAGTAGTACTTGATGTAGTAGGCGTTTTTGCGGAAGGGTCAGCCTTGGTATTCTCATACTTCTTGGCTGCCTCGATCGCTTCAGCCATCAGTTTTGCTCGGTGGCTACGGCTGTTCTTTTCATCATCTGTTGCAAGCTTGTTGATTGCAACAGTCTCGGGTTTCTTCACTGAGTTCTTGGCGTTGCGGATGCACTCATCCAACTTGGTGTCTGTCTCGAGCAACTCCTTGAGCAATTTTACTTGCTCTTCTGCACTGACTGGCATGTCCACACCAAGCTGCGCAAACATCTCGCGGTTTCCCTCGGATTCCTGGTTTGGTGTAGTTCGATCATCCTGCTCTGAAGCCGCCTGTGCTTTCTTCTTGCTCGCCTTCTTTGCGGTTGCTTTTTTGGCTTTCGTAGCTGATGTGATCCACTGCCTCAGACTGTATGCATTGGCAATGGAGTCAATAACAAAAACATAACACCATTCATGACGCATAAATAAAATCACACACTCGCTGACATACTGACACACATAACAATACAAATAACACAGTTGCATTTTATCACACCTCAATTGTTAATTTTCAATATCACCATTTAGGTCACTCGATCGAAAGCACAATACATAACATATATATAATATACATTATGTGCAACTTTAATTAAGCCAAATGGCTTCATGGTCTTCTCCATAGTAGCCTGCTTGTCTCGTACTTCCTTCTCCAGTTTGTCATCCCAATTGGATACTGGAACCAAGCACGACAAAGAGAGTTTGAAGAGTACATGTTGCAAGTTTTGAAGCACATCTTTGTCCTTTTGGGGGAGCCTCTCCAAAAGAACCAAATCCACATCGTTGTCACCACCATAAATACTGTGCTTGGCCACAACAGTGAGCTCCTTCTGGATGGACTTGAAGAAAGCCAAGTCAGACCGTGTTACAGTCTTTGCAGCCGTGGCTGGAATGCAAAAGTCTGCGGTGTTGCCGATGGGCTTGTCCATGTACCACTCAACCTGTGACAAATTGTGATAATCAATTCAATTAAATCAAATCAAACAAAAACGATACATGAAACATGAAACTTGAGATTGAGCGGACGAAACATATAAAGTGCAATCAGCACATGTTTGTTAGAAAAGAGCTGGTGGTATGCTGAAATTAGCGTTCCTATATGGTCTATTTTATTTACATAGTTGTCTTGTGTTTTGTTTGTTTGTTTGTTTGGGTTTCGGTTTCGGTTTCGGTTCCACTAGATCTTTTACCTTTGCTTATTTCATCAAAATCTGCCAAGAAACTCCAAAGAAATGGCAAAGGAACATAGAGCCAGGAGTCTTGAAGGGAGAAACCTTTCCACCCACCAAGGGCAAGCACAAGTCATCCGGAATGGGAACCTTGACTTTGACTTCAGGTTTGCTTGCCTGCACATTCACAACCACAGACTTCGTGTTAGCCAAGAATTGGTAAGCGTCCCAAACCAAAGAGCTCAAGCGCATCTCCACCTGTTTCAGAAAGAGCACATTGCAATCTCTGAAGACCATGCGAAGCGCTTGCGCTTCTGGAGATTCATTGAAGGCCTTACAAAAGTCTTCGGTAGAGAACGCATTTGCATCGTCCAGTGGAATCAAAGATTGCGACGTTGTTTTAGCTGCACTATCTTTCTTCTCATCCACCTTGTCTTCCACACCCTCACCACTGTCGCCACCCTTGCCATCTTTGGCTTTGTTGCACTCCATGGACGTAACACCTGCACTGAAGTATCAACAAAAAGGCAAACATTGTGGTTTGTATAGTATAGGTGCATATGCAGAAGTTGCTTAGGGTTCGGTTTGTTGGCACCGGTTCTGGGTTCTGTAATTGCTGATGTGTTGTGAATTGTGAATTGTGAGTGAGTTGTTGACAAGGACTTAGTTGCAGGTCGGTTTGATTGCTTATTGTTAGATCACGTTTACCCGTTTCCCGATTTCCCAAACAATTCTCAATTCCATTGATTCCAATATTCCAACATGACAATGAACACATTTCAAGAGTGTCAAAAGAGACATATATTATGAAATTATGACTACATGGCTACATTACTCAACAAATATCAATGTTGCCAAGGCAAATCAAGGCACCCTCAGACATTTTCAGCTGGATGCTTGACAAGGCTGCAATGCGATCCGAGATTGTCATAGCCAAAGCACCAGTGTCATCAAAGTTGCAAGTCTTCTGCACGTTCTGCACCATGTCCTTCAGGTTGTTACTCTTGGAAATGATATCTGCCCATCGTTCGCCCCATTCTGCTGAGCTCAGCAACATATCAAAAGGAACCAGGCTGCTTAGGTGCAATGGGTTTTGCTCCAACTCTTTGGGAAGTGAGAGAAGCATAGCCTTCTGGTCTGCAGAGATGCCTTCGATGGTGACGTTGGTGTTGCTGCATGAATGGCTGAGCAAATGGACAAGATATTGAAGGCGCAGGCAAACAAACTTCTCCATGGTTTCCGTGTCGTTGAATACCTCTATTGCTTTCTACCAGGAATTCACTGAATTCACTGAACGTCAGGAACTCTGTTGAGCCTGGTCCGTTACTAAACAGATGACAACGTATATTTAACAATTATATATGATAATTATGTAGAATATACGGTCTATCCATCCATAGGCTCGAGGACATAAACTAAAGGCAAAGTACTGTGTCAGTCTTCTCCACAAAATGGCGGCGTGAATGGTATGCTTCCACCACGTCCACAGCAAAGGAAAACCATTCTGCAGGAACCAACGACTCCAGCTGCCCCTGAATGAAGCAAACCAGGTCAACCAAGTCCATGGTCTTGTTCAATTGGATCAGCCTAAGTCAGATATGGGCCGATATGAAAATATTTGGGAATGTTCATGCACGATGACCATGTAGCATGACCTGCTACTAGTTGATAGATAGTTACAAAAACTAATTGAACAAGGTATCAGTATATGTCAGTATATGTAAAACTGACCATAAACATGATGAAAATGAATGTGAACCACACAGACTGTCATTTGATGAGATGCAGTTGTGTTGTAGTTGTGCTTGCCAATTCAATGAACAAATCCTGTCCGTTGTGGCTGTGTGTGCAATCTGCTGGTTAAAACTGTGTATATGGTCCAGGTTCCAGGTTGATAAAGGTTTAAAGGGTTCTAAGTTCTGGGTCCGGCGTCCGGGTTCTTTTTTGGCATTGTGTTTACAACAACGACTAGGACACCGGCTGTGAAATTGTGACGCGCAAGATGTCATGCATCACAACTGGTAGTTTGATGTTGTTCTGCAAGTAAGCCTTCAAAGGATCAGCAACTTGTTCTGATCGTGTCGACATGGCGGTCATGATGCGCTTCATGCATTGCTCCTCGTCATCACCAGTGATGACGCTCGTCACTGGCTTCTCCAAAAAGGACTCACAAAGCGACCGTGCAAGCTGCAAAGCATTGAGTTTTTGAGTGTCAGCTGCATCATGTTCAGGTAGTTCATTGTGAGTAAACTCAATTGATGCAACATAGACCTTCTGCAATTCCGGACGCACAACAGACCACACACGCATGTCACATCCGTTGAGACAAAGTCTGCCTTCAAATGCGAAGTTCACGAATAGGCTAGCCTTGACTTGGATTCATGATTGGTTCTCCCTGCCCCACAATCGAAAAAGACACATGGTTAAGATAGCCCAGGGCCCAGCCCAACCCAAAATAAACAATCGAAAAATCAATATTGTCCAAAATAGTCTTCCATCTATCCAAGACACACAGAAGTCAAAGGCACTGTTCAAGCTGTCTGCATGTGTTGAGCCCATTTTCTCCTGCTTCAATGAGAATGTTAGCGTGCACTGCGCACCAAAAGTTATTTCACATCGCAACACGCTTGCACTGCTTGCATTGAAAGTATACACCATGCTTGTGTTGCATGGTTAACCTCACATCAACACAACACACATATATATATACTTGATTCACTTGTTGTTTTCTGCTTGAAAGTGTGATCCTCGTCATACAATGAGATTAACAAACCTTGTGAATGCTACATTTAGTCACTCAAACTATGAATGCACTGCACCACCAAATGTTTCAAATGTCTCCTTTGCCAACATCTCAACAAAGCTCATGGCTTGCATAAAGTCATCCAATGCTGTGATGGCTCGTGATCCTGGATCATCAGCAGCTGTTGAAGCTACTGACATAGGAGAGACTGGCACCTGATATGACTTCTTCTCATCG